CAGCAGCCCCGCGGGAGAAAGACTGGGCTGTCTACCCCATAAACGGTTGCAGTCTCGGAAACCCAACAGGGGTCTCTGAGTCAGCATTGGCCGGATGGCAGTGAGTTTGAATTTGTAGCATTTCCCAGACTGCGCCTCCTCTTTCTCCCCAGGAGCAGTTAGTGGATTTGAACCACCAACCTGCCCTTCTGGTTAGCAGCTGAACCTCACACCACTGTACTCCCCCCAAACAAACCAGGAGACAGACTCACTGCCATCAGGCCGACTGCGGCATCATGTAGAGCTGCCCTGTGTGATGGCGTCCTGCCCCATCCCACCCCCTCCTTGACTGCTGCTACTGGATTAACTCACCGTGGGGAAGACTGGTGCCGCGGGCTGTGAGGGAGCAGACTGCCACCCTTCCTGTGTCCTCTCTGCTGCTGCCTCCTGGGGAGAGGAGCAGGAGGGAGGATGGGAAAGGTCACACACAGACTGGAGACCCTGGGCCTGGGCATTCGTGTGCAGGATCTGGACCAGAGGAATGAGAGAGGAGGTCCTTGAGGAAGCTAGAAGGCCAAAGCTCTCCCCACCCCTCCCTCTCTCACACTTTCCCTGTCTCACTCACACATACACACACGCACACACACACACACACACACACACACACACACGCAGAAGGCTTCCCTTTGAGGAAACCAGAAGGCAGCAGCTCCCTCTCTCTGTCTCTCTCTTATCCTCCATAGATACATATGGTACCGTGTACGTAGATATATTGGGGTAGGAGCAAGGATGCAATGACAACATCAGAACAGTTTGGGGGGGGGCACGCACCCACCACAGCCGCAGGGTGTCAGGCGCACAGCGGCCCTCTGGCGGGCCTCCGAGGCCAGGGGACTTCATGGGAGCAGACGAGCAGCTGGTGGGCTTGAACTAACAACCTTAGGGTTAGCCCTCTCCACATAACCCACTGCACCACCAGGGCGCCTCTGACCGCTAGCGAGAGAAGTTAAAACACAAAGACACCTTCCAAGACATGGGCAGGCTGCTTACTAAATGCCAAGGCCCTAAAGTGACCCGGAGTTGGTGCGCCACTCTTCAGTAAGTACACAACTTGCTCGGGCATTTTGCACCGTGAGCTTTTCGATGTACTGACATTGTAGATTTTTAGGTTTTGGTATGTTTTGAACCCTGTTTTAAAGGAAATGTCAAAACGCCCTGGTTCTTACCTAACACAGCAAACCACAGATGGCAGCCTTGTGCCTCGATCTTGGAATTGTACAGAAAGAAACGGGTGAGAAAAAGGCAGAGTGGTTTGGCCCCCTTCCGGCATGACTGGGAGTCCTTTTCTGGGGGCAGGTACCATGGTTCCCCCTCCCCACCCCACTCCCACTGCCACCACCACCAGCACCCAGCTGTCCATTTCACTCTCGCTCCCTCACTCTGCCCCTGAGTGTGATCAGGGCTTCGTTCTGGGGCTCACCCATCTCCTAGCAGTCTCTGCCATGTGGTGAAACCTTGGGATGGAGCAGGAGCTGAGTGTAGCAGTGCCCCATAAGTAGACTAGCCCAGAGTCCACTCCCACAGCTGTGTCCCACGGCTGTGCGAAAGGATTGGAATCCAGCCCAGGCCTGAGGCTCACGGCTGGGTCTGGGAAGTAAGCAGTCTGCAGCCCTCTAGCTGGTGATGGATTGACACAACCTCGAGTGGTGAGTGAGGTGGCACCGGAGGAAAAGCACTGGTCTGCTAACCACAAGGTTGGCAGCTCAAACCCACCAGCCACCGCGAGGGAGAAAGAGGAGGCTGTGAGCAACTCCATGGCAGTTGGATCAGCAGTGACCACTATGAAAGCCCCCAGACCTTCCGGTGTCCGGTTCTGGAAGGCTCGGGAACCGGAGTCCATTGGGGAGCCTTTTCCGTTTGGCTTAACTGGTTTAAGGCAGCCATAGTTAAGACAGCAGGAATGAACGTCTGTTCGGGTGTGGGGGGTGTAAATGCCACCTCCCATTTGACCCCCGCACTTCAAACGTCTTCTCACGCCCTCTCCTGAGTTGCTGGAAAGAGGTGATCTTGCAGAGGGCAAGCAGCGTGTAGAGAACTTGACGCCGCAGAACTGGGCATTTCAGAGTCGCATCCATCCCCAGCCCTTTATTGATGAAAATCCTCCATTGTCAGGGCTGCTCCCAGGGATGAAGGGGCGCATTCTTCACCGGGGAGCTCGGGGCAGCGTGGGGTCAGCTCTCTGGCCCCGCACAAACTGTGGCCTATTCATGGGGAAGGGGGGTGGGGCGAGAGCAGGGGCACAATGGCGGCTCCTGAAATGCCACTTTGTCTAGACGCCGGAACACGGGCCGCGCCCCCGCCAGCTCTTCCTTGGGAGTGGCATGCCCGCTGCGGCTGAGCCGAGCCTCCCGGTTTTTTGCAGCGATTACAACAACATCAAGGCCGCCTACGAGGCCATGAAGCACGTCGCCTGCTTGATCAACGAGCGGAAGCGGAAGCTGGAGAGCATCGACAAGATCGCCCGCTGGCAGGTGTCCATCGTGGGCTGGGAGGTACGTGCATGCGTGCTCGCCCCTGCACCTCTGCACCCCCCTCCCCCGCCGTGAACGCGCTGGTTGTGGCCCACACTGTATAGACTCGGCTCTGGCGAGCGTTGTGAACCACGTTGTTGTTGGATCATCAACCACTGTCGTCCCCCGTCCTCCCCGCCCCATGCCCAGACGGACAGTTGACTCGGCGAGTGCCCCCTCTCGGGCTCCAGCCCGGGCAGCATTTAAAAAGCAGGAGTGTGTAGGGCTTTGCGAGCCGTGGTGGCGCTGTGGGTTAGGCATTGCACTGCTAACTACAAGCCCACCAGCTGCTCTGAGGGAGAAAGACCAGGCTGCCTGCTCCTATAAAGACCCACCGCCTTGAGGCTCTGAGGCCATGACCTATGGGGCTGTGAGTTGGAATTGACTTAATATTAGTGGCTGGGGCAGGTGGGGGCTTGTTTTGTATTGTTTGGCCTTCTTGGTTTTAAGCTAGTTACTACTCTAGGGTCCTGCTCTGTCTGTACCTGATTCTGAAAACAAAGTATATTTGGAACTATGTTTCTGGTTAAGCGCTGAGCTGCTCACAGCAAGGTTGGAAGTTCAAACACACGAGTTGCTTCTAGGGAGAAAGATGAGGCTGTCTGCTCCCATAAAGATCCTCAGCCCTGGAAACCCTACACAGATAGGGTTTGAAGGGAGTTGGAATCAACTCAGTAGTGGTGGGTGTTTGGGGTGGGTGGGTTGGCTGGGTGGCTGGTTGGTTGATCAGTTTTTGATTACTTCAGGGAGCTGATCTTCACCTAACACAGCAAAAATACTCCAAACTCATTGCCATCAAGTTCATCTGGCTTGTGAGGGAAGGGTAAAAACTGCCTCTGTGGGCTTCTGAGACTAACTCTTTGGTGGGGTAGAAAGCCATATCCCTCTCTTCGAATGGTGGTTTCGAACTGCTGACCTTGCAGACCACAGCCACTATGCCAGCAGGACTCAGGACACAGAAATGTGTTTATTTAGAGCTATGCTCCGTGCGCTAAAGCTGCCTCTTCCTCCTGGCTCAGCTGGAGCTGGCTCTGTGTAAAGCCTTCCTGGCGCCTCCCCTGCTCCCCTCCTCTACAGAGGCTGCATGGGGTGATTGACCAGAAGCTGAGGTGTGACATGGCCGTGAGGGGCAGGAGCGGGAGCTCCTATAGGCCTGAGAAGCCCAAAGGAAACTACGTAGGGCAGGGGACTGGTGGGTGTCCCCTCCCCTCCTCATAGAGCCCCAGCGGGGCCAGCACTGGCAGAACACGTGTGTGTGTCTTGTCTTTCCAGGGTTTGGACATCTTGGACCGGAGTTCGGAATTGATCCATTCAGGCGAGCTGACGAAAATCACGCAGCAGGGCAAGAGCCAGCAGCGGACCTTCTTCCTATTCGACCACCAGCTCGTGTCCTGCAGGAAGGACCTGCTGCGCAGGGACGTGCTCTACTACAAAGGCCGCACCGACATGGACGCCATGGTGCTCGTCGACCTGCCCGACGGCCGCGACCGCGACTTCAACCTCAGCGTCAAGAACGCCTTCAAGCTCGTCAGCCGGGCCACCGACGAGGCCCACCTCTTCTGTGCCAAGAAGCACGAGGACAAGGTGCGCTGGCTGCAGGCGTGTGCCGACGAGCGGCGGCGGGTGCAGGAGGACCAGGAGATGGGTGAGCATGCCACTGGGACACAGTGCTGTGAGCCCTTGGTCCTACACACACACACACACATACACACACACACACACACACACACACACACACTCAGAGCTTGCCTAGTGATGGGGGCTGCAGGCATGTACTGATGTGAGGGTATGGGTGCAGCGGGGCCAGGAGATGAGTGAGCACTGGGGCGGGGCGTAGTGGAGCCCAGGCTCCCCAGCACTGCACACACACACAAGAATGAAAAGAGGAAATTCTAAATGCACCTCCATGCACCTTGGCTCTCTGACCCAGTCCTGTTGGGCCACCAGCTTGTGTCCGGCAAGAAGGACCTACTGCACAGGGACATCAGGGACAGGCTCTCATAACGTGTACTTTATTCGGTGTGTGCCTCCTGCCACATCCCTCGCTCCACACTGGCGCCTGTGACTCGGAGACTGATTTTCACACACACGCACACGCACACACACACACAGTTACAGGCGAGGAAGGTGAGGCTGAGAGAGAGAGACGGTCCACCTCTACCCCGGCCGTGAGAATAGCCGGTGACAGGTCTCGCCATCAGGTGCCATCCGGTCAGTTCTGAGTCACAGCGACCCTGACCAGCCCATACAACTAAGCCTAGTGGGTTTGTTGTTGGCAGTTGCTGTGGAGTTGGTTCCAACTCTTAGCGACCCAGCACACGACAGAGCGACGCAGCGCCCACCCAGGCCCGCACCAGCCTCACGATTGTTTTATGCTTGAGCCACTGGGGCAGCCCCTGTGCCGGTCCATCT